AGTAGTTAGCTGCTTGTGTCAGCGCATTCCCTGTAGTTCCCTCCTGGTAACTTTGTGTGTGTGACTGCCAGTACTGGGGATTGAACTCAGGGACTCCTGCTATTGCCTGGCTTTTTTGCTTTGGCTTTATGAGCAATGTGCCACTTGAACCATCTTTTCAGTTCTAGCTTTTTTGCTGGTTGGAGATAAGTCTCAGATTTGTCTCCCCAGGTTGCCTTCAAACCTCAATTCTCAGATCCCAGCCCCCTGAGTTTATCTAGGATTATAGGCATGAGCCACCAGTACCTTGCAAAACTTTTTTTTTTTTTTTTTTTTTGTGTAGGTTGTGGGGCTTGAACTCTGGGCCTCGGGGCTGTCCTTCAGCTCTTCAGCTCAAGGCGGGCACTCTACCACTTGAGCCACAGTGCAATTTCCAGTTTCTGGTAGTTTATTGGAGATAAGAGTGTCAATGGACTTTCCTGCTTGGGCTGGCTTTGAACCGTTATCCTCAGATCTCAGCCTCCTGAGTAGCTATGATTACAGGTGTGAGGCACCAGCACATGGCTTGCATAACTTTTTATAAAGGTCTGAAATTATAGGAGTAGTCCATAGTATTGGTCTACCTGGATTTTTTAGGGATCACTGGAAAGAGAACTTTTTTTAATTTTCTCAAATAAGAAAGAGCCCATCTGGATACCTGTAAGCAGTAAAGTCAAGTCTTAGGGACAGGAAGAGAATAAAAAAGCCTTCTGTTCTTTAAAATGGGAAATATGTTTATAACTTGAGATTTTTTTTTTTTTTTGGCTGGTCATAGGCCTTGAACTCTGGGCCTGGGTGCTGTGGCTAGTGCTCTACCACTTGGGCCACAGAACCACTTCCAGTTTTCTGGAAGTTTATTGGAAATAGAGTCTCATGACTTTCCTGCCCGGGCTGGCTTTGAACTATGATCCTCAGATCTCAGCCTCCTGAGTAGCTAGGATTACAGGCGTGAGCCACCAATGCCCAGCTGGAGATTTTTGCAGATGAAATTTTTTTCTGTTTTGTTATTATTTTTATTTTTTTGCGGGTCCGGTTATGGGGCCTGAACTCTGGACCTGGGCGCTGTCCCTCAGCTCTTCAGCTCAAGGCTAGCACTCTACTACTTGAGCCACAGCGCCACTTCCAGCTTTTTTCTTTTTTGCTTATGTGGTGCTGAGGAATCGAACCCAGGGACTCAGGCATTCAAGGCAAGCGCTCTACCAGTGAGCCACCTTCCCAGCCCTGTTTTGTTATTATTTTTTATTTATTACTTTTTGAGTGTCCTGGGGTTTGAACTCATGGCCTGGATACTGTCCTTGAGTCTCTTTGTGCTCAAGCTAGTGTTCTACCACTTGAGCCACAGTGCCACTTCTGGGTTTTGAGTGGTTATTAGAGATAAGAGTCTTATGGGGACTGTTCTGCCTGGGGTTGGCTTCAAACTTTGATCCTCAGATCTCAGCCTCCTAAGTAGTTAGGATTACAGGTTTGAGCTGCTGGTACCCAGCTGCATGTATTTCTTGGAAAGAGTTCAGTTTACTAGTTTAATTTGTTTTTATTATGGTTTTAAAATTGGAATAGTTTCTATCTTCCTTATAGAGAACCCAACTGAACAAGACCTGCCTTGCTTTCAGAAGACTGCTGCCAGTGTCTTGACTTACTACTCAACCTACAACTTGTGCTTAAAACCTTAACCTTAGTTACTTATTTGCATAATTCTCTTGTTCAAAGACGTCATAGATTGCCCTTTTAAATTACAGATATGGAAGTGTAATGACTCACCTTTTTTTTGTTCTCTGTATCGTTTGTTTGTTTGTTTATTTATTAATTTTTGGGTCCAGTCGTGGGGCCTGACCTCTCTCCCTCAGCTCTTCAGCTCAAGGCTAGCGCTCTACCACTTGAGCCACAGTGCCACTTACGGCTTTTTTTCTTTTTGCTTATGTGGTGCTGAGGAATCGAACCCAGGGCCTCAGGCACCTTCCCAGCTCTGTATAGTTTATTTTAATGTTAATATCTTTCTTTTTGGTGCCAGTGTCTTGCTCTGAGCTCCATTACAATCGTGCATCTCCACACCTTGCCTGTCTGATTATTATTTCATTGTTCTCCCCTCCAGGTTTGTTGAGGCATAATTCACAAAATTGTCCATTTAAAAATTACTTTTGATCTTAAAGGGCTTGGTTTAGAGTACTGCTCCTTCTAAACCTACTGAGGCTCTTGCTATGAACAGGTTTTACTTTCTTGTGACCTGAGGCCTCACTTCTGTTTTTTTTCTTTTTTCAGGGTTTCATGCCAGATGTTAGTTGTGCTAATAACTACTGTCTTGGGAACTGGGTTATAGTTAATGTCTTCACTGCTGCTAGTGTGACAGCTCTAGAGCTTTTAACTCTGGGCCTTTTACTTTGGCCTAGCTTTTTCATTAAATGCAGGCTCCCTATCATACCTACAGAGTTTATTTTAATCCCTCTCCTTTGAACCATGATCCTCAGATCTCAGCCACCTGCGTAGTTAGGATTACAGGCATCCAGCCAGGGCTGGCTCATGTTTTTGCTTTCTTTCTGTTCAAGGCTGAGGCTGTACCACTTGAGCCACACCTATACTTCCAACTATTTTCTGGTTTATTGGAGACGAGTATCTTGGATTTGTGTCTCCTTGGCTGGGTTCTAAATAAGATCCTCAGATCTCATGCTTTAATTATTTTTCAGATAAGGATCTTCCTCTTAACTTTTTGCCTGGGACATTTCTCAGACCTTAAGCCCCCTACCTTCAACTCCCAAATAGCAGGATTTATAGTTATGTGCCACCATGCTCAGCTCCTGGGTGCATTTTTGATTGACATTAGTGTTACCAAGACTTTCTACACATGTTAGTGGACATTCACAGAGAAGGCTAGAATTGCATAGGTATGGCCTACTTGAGAAATTTAATAATAGAACATTAGTATGGCCCCAGAATTCTATGCTTATAATAAGTGGAATGGTGGTTGGTAAGTATTTTTGCCATATTTGGGAACCATGTATGTTTAATATTGACTCTGGAAAATAACAGCATGGCCTGAGTATTTTTAGAAATGAGTAGCAAATAGTACTGAATAAGTTGTTTCTTTACTAGCATAATGAGGAATCTGAAAATTAATTTGAGTTACTCAGGTTTAACTATGTATCTTTTTTTGGTTGGTGGGGTAGGTGATAACTAGGGTTTGATTCAGGGCCTTGCACTTCTTTGTCAGGTGCTTTACCACTTGAATCGTGTTTCTGTTCCTTTTTGTTTTAGTTATTTTTGGCAAAGAGTCTTGCCTGTATTCCTGTCTGGCTTTTGACCATAAACCTTCTCATCTCTGCCTCCCTCATCCTGAGGTAGCTAGAATGACAGGCATCTGACACCTGTCTACGCCCAATGGGGTGTATGTGTGTGTGTGTGTGTTCCGTATATATATATATAATATATATATATATATTATATATATATATGCTGCATAGATATATACATACATATGTGTGTATGCATATATTTGCTACTGGTCCTGGGGCTAGAATACAGGGCTCCAGTGCTGTCTCTGAGCTTTTTTGCTCAAGACTAGCATCTACCACCTGAGCCACAGCTCTACTTCCAGCTTTTTGGTGATTAATTGAAGAGTCTCATGGACTTTTCTTCCCAGGCTGGCTTCGAACCACGATCCTCAGATCTCAGCCTCCTGAATAGCTAGGATTACAAGTGAGCTACCGGTGCTTGGAGTAGTGGTATATTAAAACTTAATATGGCATATATGATTACCTTGGAAATAGTGTTATGTTTAAGTCTTTATTTGAAAAAACTTTCCCTATTTATTTGATATGATATCTCAGTGTTGCCTGGGCTGGTCTCTAAACTTGGGCTCAAGTGATTGTCTAACTTTAACCTCTCAAGTAGATGGGACTATATGTCTGTGCTTCATTTACTACTTTAGGAAGTACAAAATTATATTAGGTAAACTATCTTACCTATGAAGAGGAAGGGCAGGTTTGTTTTCCATTGGTATTAAGTACAGTGACTTGAGGTTTAGACTCGTCCCAAACTCTATCTAGTGCTTTTGTCTCTGGACCATACTACTTGTAACATAGGTATAAGTACTTCTTCCATCTATAACTACAAGTATCATTTACTTGAAACACCACACACACACACACACACACACACACACACACACACACACACACAACCTTTGAGTTTCAGTCGTTGTTGAAATTGCTCATCTCAAATGGCTTTATGTGGTTGTGTCTATAGATTGTATTTGCTTCCTATATCTTAAGTATGAGTCCCTTCATTTTTATCACAGTTTACCTGTTGAAGACATCACTTGTCCCATAGCTTTTCCTCATTTTCTGTACTTTGCTGATTACATCCCTGAGTGATACTTAACATGTATTTACTGTAAAATGAGCAAATATGGCTAGTGAAATCATTTGGTATCTGACAAGATGGACACAAATATTTCTCATCGACTTCCTGTGGCTCATCTGCATGTTGTTGATGTTATATGGCTTTTGGATGACGTTATAAATATCCAAATAGCCCTTGGCCGAACAAAGGTTCCCTACCTCTGCTAGCTAGAGGCTTGATCCACATTCCTTGATATTTTGGAAGAGGGAAGAGTGGTGGTGAAAAGCAGTTGGTATGTAGTTCTTGTCACATCACTCTGTGGTGGCATATAGCATCCTGTCCCTTGTCATGGAGAAGTGACAGTTGGCTTCCAGTTGTCTGTAAGACTTCTATTATACTACCAGGCAGCTTTTCGCCAAGTGGTTTTTAGCAGCTGTTGATAATTGTCCATGGATCCAGTATTTCATTAGGGATTCAGAATAGTTTGTAACTACTTTAAAATGTATTTTGTAAAGATAAAAACATTTAGAGACAATGTAGACTTACATTGTTAGGCTCCAAGCTGTATAAATAGAAACTACATTTGCAGAGTATTTTCATAATTGTATTCCTAAAAGAATAGGGTAGAGCTTAAAAATAAAAGTTAAGCCATGCTTGCTTCGGCAGCACATATGCTAAAATTGGAATGATACAAAGAAGGTTAATATGGCTTCTGTGTAAGAATGACACACAAAAAAGTATCTTCAATTCCTCCCTTATTTCCTTCCCTCTTTCCTTCCTCTTTCCCCTCTTTCCTCCTTTTTTCCTCTCTTCCTCTTAAGTGTCTCATAGACTTTTCCTGCTTGGGCTGGCTTTGAATTGTGACCCTAGATCTAGCCACGAGTAGCTAGGACTACAAGCATGAACAGTGCCTGGCTATCATTTTCACTTTCTTAAGCATATAATTTGGAAATTAAATGTACATCAGATGTACCTTTCCTTTCAGATGCGGTGATAATAAAATGCATTCATTTATTTATTGCCAGTCTTGGGGCTTGAGCTCAAGGCCTGGACACTGTCCCTGAGCTTTTTTCTCAAGCCTTGCACTCAAAACACTTGAGCCACAGCCCCACTTCTGGCTTTTTCTGCTTATGTGGTAGTAAGGATTTGAACCCAGGGCTTCATACATGCTAGGCAAACACTCTACCACACTAAGCCATATTCCCAGTCCTTATTTATCTATTTATTTATTTATGCTAGTACTAAGGTTTGAACTTATGGCCTTACTCAGCCTTTTCTTTTTTTTTGGGTCCGGTTGTGGGGCCTGAACTCTGGGCCTGGGCGCTGTCCCTCAGCTCTTCAGCTCAAGGCTAGCGCTCTACCACTTGAGCCACAGCGCCACTTCCGGCTTTTTTTTTTCTTTTTGCTTATGCGGTGCTGAGGAATCGAACCCAGGGTCTCAGGCATGCAAGGCAAGTGCTCTACCACTGAGCCACCTTCCCAGCCCCTTACTCAGCCTTTTCTGCTCAATGCTGGCACTCTACCATGTTGATACACAAATTTAGTTCTGGCCTTTTCTGCTTAATTGGAGATTAGTCTCCAGGATTTATCTGCTTGGGCTGGCTTTGGACCTTGATCCTCAGATCTCAGCTTTCTGTATAGGTAGGATTACAGTCATAAGCCACCAGCACCAGGCTTATATTGTTTGTAATATTCAAATTTGTTTATATTACTTTCCAATTGAGGTTGTAACTAATGACTCCGAACTTTAGTTGATGGTCATAATCCATCCATTACTCCCCAATTCATTGCTTCAGTATTCTAGAGGTCAGAAATTGAAATGTTTTTTACTTTTTCTTTACCTTGTTGAATTTCTAGAAATTACACTTGTTACTGAACTCTTGATCCCTCTTGAATCTTCAACTAGAATGGCAGTTATTCAAATTGTTCTGATACTGACTTGTCCTCCTTCTTCTTAAGCTCACACTACCCTTGTAATTACACAGAGTACACCTGGATAATACAGGATAATCTGTCCAAATCAAGGCCATTTGATTTAAGCAACCTTAATTCCTTTGCAATTGTAATTCCCCCTTACCATGCAACATAACCTAGTTACGAGTTCTAGGTATTTGAGCATGGACTTTTAGGGGGGTCTGTCATTTTCTTTTACTGCATTATGGGTACATTAAAAAACCAGCAAACCAGCATCAGATTAAATGTGCAAAATTGATTTTTTTTCTACCTTCAATGAGTTTGGGGTTGTGGTAAGGAACTGGAAAGAAGTAGAGCAGATTTGGGCTGGGAAGGTGGCTCAGTGGTAGAGCGCTTGCCTTGCATGCCTGAGGCCCTGGGTTCAATTCCTCAGCACCACATAAGCAAAAAGCAAAAAGCCGGAAGTGGCGCTGTGGCTCAAGTGGTAGAGCGATAGCCTTGAGCTGAAGAGCTGAGGGACAGTGCCCAGGCCCAGAGTTCAGGCCCCATGACCACCGGACCCCCTCCCCCCCCCCCCAAAAAAAAAGAGCAGATTTGTTATAACACACCTTAGCACTAAATGAATGTGAGAGGTGGTTATTGTCTGTTGTAGTTATAGGGGACAATGGGAACTTGGGCTTCAAATGCTGTTAACGTACTTCCAATTAAAGTAAGATAAAAGTAAAGATGCACCTAAGTGGAGCCTTCTGGAAAATCAGCTGTTATTGTATTGTATTACCACTCTATAAGTAAGGAGAGGCTTTGTTGCATGAGAGGTTATGAAAATGTGGGTTATTCTAACACTGCACGGTCTTGCTCAACAGAAACTATGTGGAATGTATTTTAGGATTTTAAGATTAGATCAAACTTCTTATGTTTAGAATAAGGTGATAAGTGAGTTTCACGTAAACATAATTGTGAGTTTAACCAGACTAAGCAGATAGTGTCTCCTAAGGGAGGAAGAGAGGAGGAAAGGCCACCTGATGACATAGAGGATGTGGAGATTCCTGAGGGATATGAGATGGATGTTAATGGTTAAGGATAGTATAGAAGAAACTCTTAACTTGAAGATTGCCACATCTTACAAGGTTTTTCTAAGTTATTAAAGAACTGAGACAGTTAGATTTGAAATTTCAGGAAACTTATGAGAAACAGAATGAGGCAGAAAACCCTGGACATGTCAGGAGGTGGTGACTCACGCCTGTAATCCTAGTTACTCAGGAGACTGAGATCTGGAGGATCGTGGTTCAAAGCGGCCTAGGAAGACATTTGAAAGATGTATCACAAATTAACCAGCCAGAAGCCAGAAGTGGTGCTGTGGCTCAAGTAGTAGAGTTCTAACCACGAGTGAAGAAGCTCAGGGGCACTGCCCAGGCCCTGAGTTCAAGCCCCAGTACTTGTGTGCACACACGCATGTATGTGCTTGTGTACATACACACACAAACACACACACCCCTGGAATTTTATGTTTTCATTTTTGAATTTGGAGGATAATCAACAGAGCAAGAGTGGCTAGGAAAAGACATTAGAGAAAAATCTAGTAAATATTTGTGTTTGTTGGACTGTACAAGAGCTGTTCTTAAGGCAGATTTGGTTTTGTTAGAGATGAGTCAACCCTTCCAACTACCCTTTCTGACTTTCTCTCTTGTTCTCCCACCCTATATTATCTGTTTTTGTAGTTAAAGTGTTTATAGAATTTTGTGCTTTTCATCTAGGCCATCAAATTTGTTGACATACAGTAGTTTGGGTTAAAAAAATTCTTTTTGCTCAGTTCATTAGTAATATCTTTAGTGTCTGATTGTAATTGAGTCAGTTACAATTTTGTTTCTTGGCCATTTTCACTAAAGTTTTGTTGATTTAACTTTCTCAAATATTAATGTGGAAGCTTAGCTTATTGATTTGAGATCTTTTCTGTTTCTCAGAATAGGTGTATAGCTATAAATTTGCCTGTAAGCATTGCTCTAGCTGCATCTCATAAACTTTTAATATGCTGTGTCTATTCTCATTCACCTCAAAGTGTTTTGTTATTTGTCTTTTGGAATCTTCTTTGACCCATACATTATTTGGAAAATGATTAATTTCTAGAGTTTTCAATTTTTTCCCTGCCAATTGATTTCTAGTTTTGTTATTGTTGAAGAAAATGCTTTGTGTAGGTTGGCCTACGCAGAGTTTCACTGTGTAGCCTAGAATGATCTTGAAATCAATCCACCTCCTAAGCATCTAGACTGCTATGATTACAAGTGTGGGAATCACCACATTTGGCTTTGATTTCAGCTCTTAAAATTTTATTGATGTTGATTTTATGGACTGGCTTATTATCCTGAGAATGCTCCAAGTGAACTTGAAAGACTAATCTTTTCTGTTGTTGAGTGAAGTGTTCTGTAGGTAACTGTTAGGTCTACAGTTAGTTGGTTTAGTGTGTTATTTATCTGATGTTGTCTAATTTTCTATCTATTGACAAATGTGATACTAAAATCTCCATTATTATTGTCAAATTGTCTATTTCTCCCTTCAATTCTGTTGAATTTTGCATCATATATTTTACGTTTCTCTTATTTAGGTGCATATGTTTGCACTTGTTATATCTCCCTGAGATATTCTTTTATAATTATGAATATCTCTTTTAGAAGAAGAAAAAGTTTTGGTGGTGCTGGGGACAGAACCTTGTTGAGTGCAAGGCAAGCTTTTTAAGACACCCTCTAGTTGGACTTTTTTTTAAATTAATACATTTTGTAGCCAAGTATGCTGGTACCTTCTTATAATCCTAGCACCTAGGAGGATCATGAGTTGAGGTCAGTCTAGGCTATAGTGATGAAAGGGTTTGATCAAAAATTAATAAGCCAGGCACCAGTAGCTCATGCCTATAATCTTAGCTAGCAGGAGGCTGAGATCTGAAGATCATGGTTTGAAGCCAGCCTGGACAAGAAAGTTGCTGTGAGACTCTTAACTCCATTTAACTACCAAAAAGGGAAAAAAACTGAGGGACAGCAGTGAGGCCCTGGGTTCAAGCCCCAGGACCAGCAACAAAATTTATTTATGTTTTTGGTGGGTTCTGGCTTTGAATTGTGATCCTCAGATCTTAGCTTCCTGATTACAGGCATGTGCCCCCAGCCCCTAACCAGTTTTTTTTTTTTTGGGTGGGGGGGGCTGTTGTAGGTATAGCTGCTCCAGCTTTCCGGTAGTGCTTGTTTGCTTGAGATGTTTTTTTATCATTTGCCTTTCAGTCAGTCTGTAGTTAGTTCCATTGCTGAATTCCACATCAGTGCACTTCAGATTGGAGATATCTGCATATGTACAGAATGTGTACAGATTTTTTTGTTACTCTTTAGACAGTATAACAACTACTGGTATAAGGAATTGTAAACCATCTAGAGATGATTTAATTATGCAAGAGGATGCACTTAGGTTCTATGCAAATACTATACAGTTTCATATTTCTTACAAGAAATTTGAACGTGTCCTAGATTTGGGTATGGGGTGGTATTCCTGGAACCTGTTCTCTGTTGATCCCAAGGGCCACTATATTTCTTTTAAGTGACTTTAAAGTGGCTTCTGTAGACAAATGGACTGTTTATGCAAAGGTGATCCTATTAAGATTATATTGCCTAGTAACGTTGTCTTTCTATGTGTAAAGCACATTCCATGATTCCTTGTTTGTATGATGATGAAACAAATGAAACTTCCCAGAATATTTACCAATTGTTAAGTGAAATATCACTATACTTTATGTTCTGTTGTTTTGGGACAAGGTCTTGCTGCCGGAACTCCTGGGCTCAATTACTTCTGTGGCTGCAGCCTC